ACCCTACGGCCAGATCCACGATCTAGGCCCCGGTATCCATAAGCTCGAATATTCGCTTAGGATACGGAACCATCCACGGACGCAGAGTGAAGATTTTCCACTGCTGCTCCACCCCATCCCCACGTCTCGCCAAGACACTCAAGCTTCACCACTTGAACTCTTCGGAAGTTACCGAGAGAGCAGATCCCGCCCTACCGACGGGTACACAAGGTGAGGAAAGTTCAGCAGAACACGGATCATCGGGGGACCCCCTCCGTTAGTCGGTGTCTGGGCGCAGTTGGTAAGTTGGATCTGGCAATCTCGCAGATTTTGCTGATCCCGCTACACCACATCAGCAATAGAAGCTCTCACGCAATCTAATGTCAAGTTTGTCGATTGAGCCACACCTAATAGGTGCTCTTATAAACACGAATCAGCTGGCGATAGTAGGTTGGCAATGTAGCGGGGTGGCGGGTTTGCTATGTCGGTACACCATGTAGAGCGGTTACCACTTCGAATAATGTCGTTCGCCCACATGCTCCAGACAACGGACGCCGCCATAAACGTACCCCATTTCTGCCTGAGATCCGCCACCACATCTCGCACTGACGACTCTGCTGCAGCGCCAGCACGATTCGTCTCCTCGGGCAAAATGCATGCCTTCATAAACTTGTCCCGATCTTTTGCCGACGCAATGGCCATGCCATACTCATAAATCATGGGCGTCACTGTTGTTCCTCGCGTTGCCACAAGCCACTGGTTCCATGCCTGGCGAGACTTGGTCGAGTCTACTACACGTTTCTTCGCGTTGAACTGCACAAGTTTAGCCCACTCTGCGACTCCACACTTCATACACCGTCTGTCTTGACTGCATGTTTCTTCACTCGACCAGAAAACATTTCGCAAACAGCCTCCATAGTAGAGCTGAATGACCGTCCATTAAAAAGCAGTGTTTAAGCTGATGAATCATGCTGATTAATGGACGTCTTCACAATGGGCCGCACAAGTAGTAGATATCTATTGTCAGGGGGTGCTGCAGCTGTCGGCGCTGCCGGTGCAGCATCTTCTGTCAACCCTGTGGCTACATGGCTCACCGAAACAGAATCTGGTGCTGTTAAATCAACATAATCATCCACAAGCCCCGAAGTTTCCCGTGCGCCTGGTGTCCCTGGAGCCTCTGTACCTGGTACTGGTGCAGCCAAAACATTCACACACACACCGTCGGCGTCTCTGAAATAGCGGCTTCAGTCATCAATTCATCAGCCTGATCCGCCGGGGCGGCTTAAGCAGGTAGTGCAGCAGGTTCAATTCCCGAGAGACTTGGTTGCCTTGGCACTACAGTGGCCACTTCCTCACGCTTTGGTAGATGGTTAGAGAGGAGAAGAGGGTCCTCTTGGAGTGGATCAAATGATGCTCGACTTGGTGGACGAACGCCAGAGCGGAGAACGTAGCGTCGTCCCCGGGGTGCCGTCAGGGCGCCCACTTGTCATGATAGAAGATGGCGAGTCAAATGATTATTCTGTATTAGCGTCAAAATGCATTCTGTATGATAGGCTGTACGATTGGGTGCACGATTGGGCTAATCGTGTCTCTCAGACACCCGCGGAAATTTTGAATAGAACGCACAATATGTTGCTGCAACTGATAATGCCTGCTTTAGAAACTTACGCTATGGATGTCGGACGCGAGCTTTTGTATCACCAATGAATCTTTCAAAAGCAGAAAATGTTGACCCAAACTTACATGGCAGACATCTTCTCATGGAGTAGCACAGAGCACGGTCGCGCACGCTTGAAGAACCTTATTGAGGTTTTAGTCCCTTAAAAGAAGAAGTACCTCTGATGATGAAAGGTGGCCTTCTGTTTTGCTTTAGATGTTTTCTTTTCTTTTTCTATAGAAGCCTTATATGCATTAATGCGCAAAAGAAGAAGTAGTTCTGCAGTGGAGTGCAGCAAAGATATTGTGAATAGGGGCGTGGTGGCATATAATGAATTTATGAACTGTAAATTTGGGTTTGAGAGTAAAAGTTGTAGGCAGGAGAAGAAACGATCTTCAGGATACTCTTAACCTGTTATTTCAGCGAAGCCTACAGTACAAAAAGCGTGCATTTCGTTGTGCACTCGAGTCATGGCATTTCCTTGAGGATCTGAAGCATCTGTTCCAATGGAACTTCCATTAGTCGACTTAATCTCCACGCCATGGTCTTCTTGGATGCCATACGTGAGTGTCTACAATAGCTCGGTGACCGAGGTTGTGGATGGCGGTGCGCTGGAATGTGAGCACGAACCAAACTTCGTTATAGATTGTCCATGCTTCCCACCGAAGTCGCTCTCCGCTGTAGCGATAGCTAGCGTTACGACGAATGCGGCATCGCTAAATGTACTTAAATGTGAAGAAAACTTGAGGCTGATGGCGGTAGTCGCCATCGACAGTCACTAGTAGGGCATCCACTGCCTATTCTGAGTTGCTCAAAAACTTATCAAAAATTGAGTATCCGCTCAAACACGCCACGCTAACTCTTTCACTACTTAATCGCTCCTACTCGGACTACATTAATAGTAAAATGGCAAAATTTGCCTCAATTTGCCCCAAATTGAACAAACCATCCATTCAATCAACGTGGCAGTGTGCTCGTATCCGGGGGAACAACAAGGAACCAGGATCTGATGGATCGGCACACATGTTTTTCGAGCTACTAGTACCTGCAGACAAAAGGGCACCGAGCATTTTTCGTACCAGCCTAAACGGCCTATTCGAGAGTAATCCTCATCGTTTTTTTTTAGCATGCACCTATTGGATGCGCTTGGAGCAGATATAATTTCTGGCCTTGTTAAATAATGAATGTCGGTTAGACCTATGCCTTATAAGTTGAGCGCTCCCGTCCCAGGGGGCGCTGGCAAATTAACGGCACCGTTCGAATAGCAAAAAGCGTCAAGTCGCTTCCAACGCGTTGACCGGCCGTGTCAAGTTCACAGATGAGATCTATCGCACCGATTTGACTCGCACGCGAAAAAGCCAACATTTGTTCCGCCAGCCGCAAACCGTAACCAGCAGCACGACACCTGGAATGCCAGATCTTTGCGGTTTTACGATACTGAATAGAGTTTGCAAAGCGGACGGTGTCCACCATACTGTATGCCATGACAGTGTCGTTGCAGCAACACTAGGGCCGTGGAGTCGTGGAAGCTTACACACGGTCATGACGCCTTGATGATCGCAGTGTCTAAAGCGATTAAGTGGCTTTGGCTCATTAATCAATTCGCCTCCTCTCGGGCAAACAACTTGGCTAAACCCTTCACACCAATCCACTATGGTCAAGTCTTTCGCGCCGTTCGTGACGTCTGCGGCTCTCCTCCTGGCGGTTGCCACCTCGGCTTCCTTGCCGAACGGGTCGTGGCCAGCCAGCAAGGGCACCGTGCAGTACTCAAAGGCCTACGTCGTCAAGGCTGGCGAGGTCTTCGACGGCAAGATGAAGACGTTCGAGCGCTCCGACGTGTCGTGCGAGGGCCAATCCGAAAGCGGGGCGGACACGGCCGTGTTCAACGTCGAGGCCGGCGGCCACCTCAAGAATGTCATCATCGGCAAGAACCAAATGGAGGGCGTGCACTGCGACAAGCACGACTGCATTATCGAGAACGTGTGGTGGGATGACGTGTGCTAGGACGCCCTCAGTGTCAAGGGCGGAACGGCGTTCAGCGTGACCAAGGTCATCGGTGGCGGGGCCCGGTACGCCGACGACAAGGTCATCCAGCACAACGGCTTCGGTACGGTCGACATCGACGGCTTCTACGGCGAGGACATCAGCAAGCTCTACCGTTCGTGCGGCACTTGTGGCAACAGACCCAAGAAGGTGTCCGTGTCCAACACGTACGTCCTCAACCCGACCAACGCCATCGTGACGGTCAACAAGAACTGGGGCGACCAGGCCACACTCCGCAACGTCTGGGTCAAGTCGAGCAAGCCCACCGTCAAGGTGTGCCAGTGGTCGCAGGGTAACGCCAACGGTGAGCCCAAGATGCTGGGTCACGGTCCGTCTAACCCTCTGTGCAAGTACTCGGAGAGCGACGTGCACATCAACGAGGACATGTCCAAGGCAGCCAAGACTCCGTCGTCGCAAGAGGAGCAGACCGATGACGGTGACTCGGTCACGCAGACGGAACCACGCCGACGCCCACCATGAAGCCTTCCAAGAAGTCGAAGACCCCCCTGACCACGGCCCCCACCGTTGAGAAGAACGTTGAGGATGTCGAGCAGACCATCCAGCAGACCGTCAAGAACACGACGGCTTCCGTCCCGGACGGCACGTGGCCGGCCAGCACGGGCATCGTCCGCTACAAGAAGCCGTACACGATCAAGGCCGGCGAGGTGTTCGATGGCAAGATGCAGACCTTCGAGCGCTCGGACATCACGTGCTCGGGTGGTGAGGGCCAGAAGGACACGGCCGTCTTCCTCGTGGAGGCTGGCGGCACTCTGAAGAACGCCATCATCGGCAAGAACCAGAAGGAGGGCGTGCACTGCGACTACCACGACTGCACCATTGAGAACGTGTGGTGGGATGACGTGTGCGAGGACGCGCTGAGCATCAAGGGTGGCTCGGCGTCCAGCGTGACGACCGTGACCAACTGCGGCGCCCGCTACGCCGAGGACAAGGTGGTGCAGCACAACGGCTACGGCACCGTCAAGATCAAGGGTTTCTTCGCGCAGGAGTTCGGCAAGCTCTACCGTTCGTGCGGCACGTGCGGCATTATTCCCCGTAAGGTGACGGTGGAGGACGTGTTCGCCATCGACCCACTCGTGAGCGTCGTCACTGTCAACAAGAACAACAACGACCAGGCCACGCTCAAGAACATCTTCGTCAAGACGACGGACGGCAAGAAGAACGTCAAGGTGTGTCAGTGGTCGCAGGCCAGCAAGACGCCGTCGAACGTGGGCGACGGTCCGTCGGGCAAGCTTTCCCAGTACTCGACGAGTGATGTGCACATCAACGAGGATTGAACTCGTTGCTCAACGGATAGCAGTGAAGAAGTCTAGTAGTTTGCGTATGAGTAGCGTTTAAAAAGCTAAATAGATGGTTGTTGATAGAGGAACCTTTTGTAAGGTACATGTACCAATACTTTGTTTAACTGGATAACAATGTCGACAAAACGCGAAG